CACTCTTATGGGACACTCTTGTCGGACACTCTTGTGGGACACTCTTGTGGGACACTATACGGGACACTCTTGTGGGACACTCTTGTAGGACACTCTTGTGGGACATACGGGACATTGTGGGACACTCTTGTAGGAGACTCTTGCGAGACACTCTTGTGGGACACTCTTGTGGGACACTCCTGTAGGAAACTCTTGTGGGGTACTCTTGTAGGACACTCTTGTGGGACACTCTTGTAGGACACTCTTGTGGGACACTCCTGTAGGGCACACTCTTCGTACGAGACTTCCTCCAAAAGTCACGCTGCGAGGCTGCAAGACGAGCGTTTCGTACGAGACTTCCTCCAAAAGTCACGCGTCAAGTCTCAAAAACGAGCGTTTCGTACGAGACTTCCTCCAAAAGTCACACGTCAAGTCTCCAAAACGAGCGTTTCGTACGAGACTTCCTCCAAAAGTCACATGTCAAGTCCCCAAAACGAGCGTTTCGTACGAGACTTCCTCAAAAACTCACATGTCAAAGTCTGCAAAACGAACGTTTCGCACGAGACTTCCTCCAAAAGTCCAGCGGAAACACCCATCGGAGCACACACATCACGCAGCCCTGCCAAGCAGTTTCGCGATTCCGGCCCCTTCAAACGACACCCGCTCACACGCCAATCCCAATGTGACAGCGACATTCACCTCTACCACAACTCACAACCTCCCGATTCCCTGCGCCTGCCACGAATCTTTCCGCGTCCACACGTCTAACGCGCACAAAGTGCTGCGCCTGCCACGAAATGTCACCTCCGTCACACATCGCAACCTCACGATTCCCTGCGCCTGCCACGAAAATCCCACTTCCACGTGTCCCACAAGAGTGTCCTACAAGAGAGTGTCATTTGGACATATGCAGCTTTTTGAACGTGTTTGCATTCGGGTTCGTGGGCTCCATCTTGTTTTGTGGCGGAAAGGGCACTGCACGGTGCTTGGAGGCCTTAAAGCAGCACAAAGCAACGGTACTTGCCGGTTTTGGACCTTCCTGCCACACCTTGCATTGGGATAGTTTCAAGCCATGCACGTTCAAGTGGCCACTGAGTTCTGGCCGTCATGAGAGATCAGGGGACAGCTTGAACCAAGCTGAACGATCAGCTGAAGGACGCTCAATCAAATTCTGGAAGCGCCAAAAAGAAGGGCAATCCAGCTTTGTTTTGTGCGTTGATTGCGCGCATGGATGAGTGTTTTCGGGAGCATGGCGTTGAGAGGAAGTGCAATTTCCTGAGCTTTGCAAGATCCGCCAGCTGAGGCACATCCCAAAGAATGGTTTGCTTTTTTGTTTGGAAAAGCGCGCCCGTTTGACAGTTGCTGGCAGTCTGGCTTTTGATCTGTCGCCTGGAACTTGTTCCAGACACTTGGTGCCCTTTGGGTTTTTGGCTCACATTGCGTTTGGCGTGCGCGTCTTCTCTGGTTGTGAGCGTGAGCGTGGTTTGCACATTCCGCACCCTGACCTGTTTTCGCTTGGACAAAGATGGTCATTGTTCACGCGGACCGAGACCTCACGTCATGTTCACATGGCCATCTCCACAAAAACACAATTGTCAACACCGCAACACCGAACGTTTGCACAGAAATCTTCGTTGCCTGTTGGTGTGCTGTGCTTTTGCTTGACTTGTCACTGGGTTTAGTTTTTTATGGCCAGTTGGCGATTGTTCTCAATGAAGCGCGTTCTTGCATCATGTGTTGTTGGTTTCGTTTGGGAACCTTTAGTCAGTTGTTTGGTCGTTGGGTGGCATTAAAGAAACATGGAGTTCAAACACTTAGCCCATTTCTTCTGGCCCCTGGCCTTACTGACAAAGAGTGAGTTATATCGGTCTCAGATCTGTTTGAGGGTTTGTGTACAACATAGCATCACCATCACCCAAACGCTCCGCCCCAATGCTTATATGTAGGGCGACAGAGAAGGAGTATCTTAGGGGACACCAATCAAATGAAACAACCAACATGTGAACTTCCCCTCTTTCACAGCTGGTTGCTTTTCTCAGACCACGTCAAGGAGACAGCTTCTCTTGAGCGGTGTCTCCAGCGTTTTAAACCTAGCCTTAAACCACGATTTGCACCTGTGTCTCCGAACTTGAATGATGTGCTGTGATTGTTTGACATTGTGTTTGCTGCAACTTCTGTTTCGGTTCAGAATACCCATGATCAAAAAATTTGAAGGTTTTTGCTGAGGAGGTGACGTGTAGCTTCTGCAGCGGCGGGCTGAGTGAAAGGTTTGATCCATGTCGAACGCAAACAGAAAAGTTATGATAGTTATGAAAGATGCAGACTCGTTACATGAGGTTGGCAGGACAGTATCGATCCCAAAGTGGTAATCGATTTCCCTGACTCAGGTTTGGCATGCGTCCAGGCCCACCTGCTCCGGGATCTCAGGGTCCTATAGCTGGACACTCAGATTGCAAACATGTGGTGTTTGAGAGATTGGTGTGGAAGTCACACAGGGTTGTGCCAACTCGTACTTTCCAGGTTTGCCAGTGAAATGGATTGTTGTAGAACCTGCATACAGTTGAAAGGTGTGATGTGATGGTGCTGTTGATGCCTCTCACAGAAAATTCCACAATGCAATGAAGACAATATATATATATATAGAGATGCAGAATTGCACATGAACCATAAGTGATAGGTGGCTGTACTTTCAGATGGTGTCGGCTGGTTGGAGAACTGAAAACATGAACATGTCAAGGCAAATTTAAGAGGCACTCAAAGTGCCCTTCCTAACAGAAACATACATACATATACACATATATATATATATATCAGTATAGAGCAAAGACACAAGAGAGCCACAACAAAATTTGAAAGGGAAGGCTGGAGGGAGGGCAGGGGGGCAGGGAGGAAGGGCAGAAAGGAATAGGACTTGGGAGGATGGATGGAAAGGGACTGGGGTGAACAAAGTTGGAAAGATATTGCGTTTTTGCGCCTGCTTGAACCGACTCGGAAGGACACTAAATGGCCGACTGGCTGAAACATGCCATAGTCTGCCATAGTTCTGTTTGTTTAAACGACAGAGCATGAAGGCCTTTTCCAATGCTTCCAGCCAGACCCAGACTTCTGCGGTGGCTTTTAGGTGACTCGGCGAGTTGGCGGCAATGCCATCGGAGGATCCAATTCCAAGGCCTGGACCACAGGAAACGCCCGCAGGAAACACGCTTTGAGAAGTGGTCGAACTCTAAGGTAGGTCATGCAGGTCATGGGATTTCTTTTTGACACTGACATCCCACCCGCCAGATTCGACGGGAAGTTCCTCCCTGGAAGGAACTCGAGCCACATTCGAGTGACCTCTGAGGCATTGCAATCTTCCACTTCCAGCTCCTCTCGATTGAAGCCAACCATTCGGCAGACCATTGAATCGATTACAAGCACAGGAAGCCAAGCTGAGTGCCTCGGCACGTGGTCGCTGAGATCGGGTGTCGACGGTGTCGTTCGGTTGTTGCAAGGTACTTCAGACCTGAACAAACCATCATCTTGTTCGATTGGGATGACACCCTTTGTCCTTCCAACTGGATCCGAGAGGCTGGGCATTGGGTGACATGAGCGGACCGTGTCACGTTGTCGTAGCATCCGGTCGCCATCCTGAACTTAGCTGCACTCAAAGGAGATTCAGCCGTCAGACCTCGACAAGAATGCATTGTTGCCTCCATCGGGGGTTTTCATTTGCTTGCCAGCGCCATCTCGGGCTGCACAATGCTGGCAGTAGACTGTCCGTTGAAGCTTGTGTTGCAAACATGACCTTCCCACCTTCCCACGGTGGGCGCTCGTGTTCGTCTTCACTTCTCTGGGTGTGATGTGGACGCTTCGGGCTTATGAGTTGGGCCTGTTCTGGGTGATGCCTGTTCTGCCCTGGGTGTGCAGGGTGCTGCCTTATACTCACTTGAAAGAACCAAGACAGAGGGACCAGAGGGGAAGGGGTCCTCGCCACTGTAGGGTTGTTATATCAAGGCAAGTCTGGCTGTTGGAAGCACAGAGAGTCGACTGCCTTGCCTGCAGAATCGGCCAGCCTTGAGCTTTTTCAAGCCTTGTCCTCCGGACGAAAAGTGCCCCAGCTGGGTGAATGAAAAAAGGAGTTTCAAGTGTCGACCAAGCCAAAGGACATCTCGCAAATCACCAGTAGAACTTCCTATTCTTATTTTGTTGCACGGTGAGATGGTTGGAGCATGACTTACCATTTGCGATATGTTTCTTCCACAAGATTGGCAACGAGGTACCAGAAACCTTTGCGAGAGCTTCAAAGGCATGTGGAGGCACAAAAGTAGTTTGTGTTTTTTTGTGGCTTGATGTGTTTCACTTCGAGTGTTACTGTCCGTTCGATGCGTGGCTTGCGTGGTGATGCCTGTCTTTAGAGGCGACTTTACAGCTTGCCATGAAGATGGGCAAGGCTCAGGGCATTGTGGGAGACGGGATACGCTGCGCTGATACCATGCAGATGTGTGTGTTGAGCCCAATAAGTCTAAGCAAGTGTGATTTATATCGTGTATTTGAGACGCACTCTCTTCTTTTCTTTTTGCAGATTTAAATACGTTGGTCGTGAGCTGGTCGTGAGCTGATGGTGGAAGTCTCCTCCGGCCTTTGCCACTTCGGAAAAAGCTGCTCATCCCTCTCCGGAGTGGATCCCATCTGCGGCCGGAGTCCACTGAGTGGTCCGAATCGGAGTGATTGAAAGCAAGTGGAAGAGCACTTACGGTATCAACAAAACAAAGTACTGTTGTAATGTCTCGATGGTTTCATACCTTTTTTTATACCCTCCTTACATGTACCTCCATGAAATGCCGATGCCTTGTGCTTACAAAATGCCATTCAGGGGTCATTTTATAGAAACATGTTTGCCCATATGACAGGGGACCCTGGAAAGATAAGATCATGTAGGGAGAGGAAAGTGCAGTTAAAAAAAAAGAAAAACTTACGGATTCCAGAATATGGATATATACCTCATGACTCATGACATTGACTGGAGTCTGCCTGAAGTGTTGTCATTTTATGAAGTGTGGGCTTTAGCATTTTACAGAGAATGATGCCTTGCAGATCATTTTATAACAGCCAAGTGTTTGTAAAACGTAATACGCCACCTGAATCAAGTAAGGGGGATCTTTATATTTGCCAAACAAAAACAAACGAATGTGCCTTTTCTTCAGGTCATCATTGTGACGAATGCCATGGAACCTTGGGTGGAGACCTCGTGCCGGTGAAGCCGCCGCGTTTGGGACCGAGTGGCTCGGACGGCTCTCCGGTTGGGCGGTTGGACGCCAGGAACTTTCTGCCGGCCTTGATGCCGATCGTGTCTCAAATCCAAGTGATTTATGCCGCTTTGACTCAGAGACTTGAAGAGTTGGTGTATGTCAGAGAGATGTTGTGTATTGGAAGATGATGAAGATGTTCTTCACTCACTCTTTGGGCGGGCTGTTGCTTCTAGAATTCGAGAGAAAAACAGCATGAGCAAGATATAGCCAGCATGATAGCCAGCATGAAGCAGTTTGTCTCTCTTGCCGAGTCCATTTTTTCTGTGCCCAAGGCGCGGTCTGTCTTCGACACTATGACCTGTGATGCTGCAAAGGCGGTCCCAGATGATGCACGGTCTGCACGGTCTCCCGGTGATGCTCGAAGGTTCATGCAGCTCCGGGCCGGGCTCTCCCTGGACTCTATGCAGCCAATGGCGCTAACAAGGCCTGAATTGTGTGGTGGAGAAACAACTACTGTATACTACTGTAAACTGTATATCATGTTGATTAGTCAACGATGTTTTTTGGGGCGAGAAGCATTGCATTTTGTTTGTTTTTCGCCAGTTGGCCAACGGGGGCCAGCGAGCACCGCAGCAGGTTGGTTGCTTCTTTGAAATCGCAGAGAAATGGGCTTACAAGATAGACTCCCATGATTGACGGTGCTAAGCCCACTGAAATGGAGGTGATCCTGTGTTTGGATCCGGTCGTCCTATTTTGACAGATTGCCTTGGCCGCAAAACGGCCGTTTCGCATCGAGCGTTTCGCATTGGCAAATCGCAGATTGATGAGATGGCACCACAAAGATGGAAGGAGCATCGACGAACACAAGACGTGCATCTTCGAGACATTTGGCAACCCGAGTTTGCGTGAGGGTTTGCGTGCATTGTGTGAGGAGATAGCATTTGAACAAGAGATCTCTGGCTTCTACTCTCGCTACGCACACCAAAGCTGGAAGAATGTCATCTCCATCGGTGCAACTGGCATGTTTGAGATGATTCCAAGCAACGAAGACCGCGCTACATGGACGACATGAGCGACATGTTTCACGATAGGAAACAATTCCATTTTGTGAGTATGTTTTCATGTGCATGCTATTAGGTTGGAGGCCATCGCTATTAGGTTGGAGGCCATCGCTAGTATATAGGTTGATTTAACAGTATCTATCTAATTGTGCACAAGACATTGCGGGAAGACTTTGAGGGACCCAAACAGTTCACTTGCGAGTGCTTGCAGGAGATTCCATATTCGAACGTGATGCTGTTCGGCGGGTTGTCATCAACCGCCCCACAGCAAACCGGAAGCCTGCACCTCAGCTTTCTTGCCCTTGTTGCACTCAGAGACAAGAGAATTATGTTGAATCAATCAACCAAGATCGCCCGAGTTACACCGCTTTGTGCCGTTTTTCCGTGCCTTAACAAAAACCACCACGTCTCGTAGTTCCATGTAGTTCCACCCGGTGACCTACCGATGTGACGTCGCCCACTTTCAACACCGAGATGCCGGACCAAAACGGCGAAGCTGCTCGATGAGCCCGAAATTGACGAGCTCGTGGCTCAGGCCGCGTGGGCTTTTCCGTTTTCCCCTTTTGGGTTTGCGAGTGCTTTTGGATTTTTTGGGTGGGCTTTGGGATCTTTCAGCACGATCGCGTGTATTGTAGGAGGAACTTTTGTTCGGGGTCTTCAGGATCCCGGATGTTGCAACTGCGCTTTTGTTTCTTTTTCCGGAGAATCTTCAAAACAAGCCTCAACATGTTCTTTTGGCTTCGGTTCTTGTGCAGGTGAAGGTAGTCCATGATGCCCTCGGCCTGATGGTGCAGTCCGCCGGCTGACCAACAACGACCCGGGACTGACGGGTGGATTTCATCCGTTTGCTGGCGGTCGTGTGGTGTTCCAATGTGTTCCAGGTATGATGGAAACCTCGACATCGAAATTGACGAGGACGACCTGAAGCTGGACCTGTCCTTGGCCTTGTGCTTAGACATGGGCATGGGTGAGCGAGACAGATGTCATTCTTTTTCGCGAGCGACAGGCAGAGAAGATCATGGACAGATGAATGGAGAATCGACTTGGACCGCGTCGACCGTGTCTTGGGAGCATTGTGGAGCTCTGTGACCGTCGGTTCACCGCCGGTCGTTCTCGCTGGACTGCGACTGGTCACCTTTTACCGGCGCTTTGGCAGGTCTCTCGTCACTGTAGCCTTTGAGCTTTTGATGTTTTTTGTGCAGCGCGGGCGAAGCCTTGTGCACAGTAATCCCATTGGGGTGGCAATCAGACTTGTGGCATTGTCATGCTTTAAGCATGGCGAGTCACAAGATTGTTGGAGAGGTTACAAAGAACCTCATTTGACATGCTTTGACCCTATTGATGAACCACTCAGAACCTTACTATCTTCCTCCCCTTTGAGCAGGATGATGAACAGGTTTCTTTTTTCTAGGACGTTCAACATGAGTTTTCATAGGCCCATGGCACGACGGGCATGTCACACTGACTCTAGTTCTGTCTTTAGAGGCAAAAAAACGATCCGAAGTGAAATTCCGAGCCTTCAAAGGCTCGCTGTAGAGGCGTTCAGATCGGACATCCGAGTCCGGAAAGCTCTGAGAAGAAAAGAGACGCGGCGCTTGGCGCTTCCGGCCACGCTGGTCACGCAGCTGGCCACGCTCCGGTGACGCGAAAGATTTGGCTCTTTGGAGCGAAGGACATTTGCACAGGAGCTGGTGTGTGGCTGCTCAAGACCACGCGGAAAGTGTGTGTGTTGGTGTGATTTGGTGACATATAGTGACTATAGACTATAGTGGGATTCCTTGCAATTTTCAATTCTCAATTTCTCCCTCTTTCTTCATCTCCCGTGCCACCGTCTGGTGCCGTTTGGGTAGCAGATTCCGCTGCAGCAGCTGTTGGATGCTTTGGGTGCTTGTATCGTTTAGCTAAGTTCATCATGTTAGTATTTGTACTGGTGCCAAATCAGACAGAATATCCAACTCGTAAGAAAACATAAAAAAGAACAAGAGATGGTCCTCAACCGTTTGGTGGAAATTGCCAGATCAGCCAGATTTCACACGATTTCGCGTTCGTCACAAATTGGCAGTCATTTGCCCTACCGCATTCATGCAAGATGAATCCTGACGGCAGGGTTTGTCGCAGGCTCAGATGCAGACTTTGACCAGCGCGACCGCGGTCAGGTGTGACCCAACCCCAGGTTCAGGTGAAGCCCAATGTCCAAGCCACGGGGTCGTTTGAGCAAGGTATTTTCATTCTTTGGACGCTTTGCACCGGTTCTATGTGACCGTGTTTGAGGTGAGGAGGGCCTGCAGGCGAAGCAGCCTAGGCACTTCAAGGAGATAGACTGCGGTTCCGGTTTCACGATTTCTTGGAAAGAGCTTAAAGCAAATCGAGTAGCAATGAGATGGAGTGAAAACAACATAGAAAGACACAGGTTTCCTTGAGTCACCTATGCCTATGTCCTTTTGCTTCATGTTTCATGGTCACCTGAGCCTTTCCTTGGTCTCCGAGGACTTGCGCAGAAAGACAATGGCAAGTCCTAGTAGCAAACGTATGCGTGCTGCCTAGCTGCCGAAGACAAACACCCCACGAACTCTCGTAACCGGATAGACTTGGATGTATAGCATGATGTATAGCATGAACTAGCTTCTGGGTGGTTCTTTCTTTGTATCTGGTGCTTGCTGGAGCCCTTGTGAGGCTTGGAAACCCGTGGCGCCTGGACCGACTTTGCGTCGCTGGAGCCCTTTTCATGTTCGCCAGTCTGTCGTTGACCACGTCCAGAGCACCAACGTCTGGCCTCCTTGGTGGCCAGGTCTTTGAATGCAGCAACATCAAGACTTACAGCCGGAAGCTCAGAGTAACGATCGTCTCTCAGGGGGCGATCGATGGATCGGGAACGATCGATACACCCATCCGTTTTTTCTTTTTGCATCGAAACGAATCGGAATCACCGCGGAACGGCGAAAGACGGAGAGACCAACGGGTGAACACCGGTGACGGCCGTGGTGGGTGAACATCGAGTCATCGAGTCCATCGAGTCCATCAGTTCCACCGAGTCCATCAATTGACTTGGTGAAAAACGTTGGCAGTCCTGAAGTGCCAAAAGAAGTTGTCCTTAGATCGTTCTCTCTATGACTCTGCGACGAGAGGAGGACCATCTTTACTTCTGATTCAGTGGCTCGAGGGAGCGGAGTGGTTCGTGGATTCAACCATTTCAACCAAAAGCTGTGTGGGCTTTGGTCCATCCTGCTGGAATAGGACCCCTGGGGAGTGGTGCGAAAGAAACCACTGAGGCATGGTCCTTGAGCGGCGACAGCCTGAGTTTGGGCCAGTGGTTCTACTGCCTAAGCGGACTAGGGGCTTTTATGGTCAACGTCCAGCTAACACTTGTTTTTACCTTGGTCTGGAGTACTCTACCTCTTTGACCTAAAAAAAGCCGCCTCCTTCGCCGCTTTGCTACTGTACTTGAGTGGAAATGCTGTGCTCACACGCCCATTGGGCATACCTCAGGGCCTTCTGAAGGCTGTGGAGGATCATCCTCGCGGCTTCGCACATCCAGAGGCCCAACCCACAACGGCTTCCATAGAATGTGCTCAGGAATGTGCTTCCGCACAGGTTTTACTCTCTGCACAGGTTCAAAGCCGCAAGAACCTTCCAACTGCAAAGACGCATTTTTGTTTGGTGAGCATTTCTGCAAGACCTTCCATCAGAGAAAGCCTCTGGAGGGGTGAGTTCCAGCACGGCCGTGACAAGTGGACGACGAATGCAGGCTTGCAGTCTGCAATCACACTGGGTGCCAAGCTCGATGATCTGGATGGTGTGGTGTGTGGAGCTCGGCTTCTTTCGTACACCCCGAGGTCCCGTCTCGACCGTCTCGTGATTCTGGACGCTCGACCGAGGTTGGTGCCCATGGAGGAGGATGATGTGGCCATCGAGGACATGAAGTCGGGGCTGCAGGGACCGGACGAGGGAGGACGGACGGGACACAATACCGGTGGATGGAAGAGTTCGTTGATTTTCGATGTTCTGAGGCCACCCCCACTTCCAGAATTGAAGGTGCCAAGTGTTCATTTTCCTTCGCAAAACATGACATGCTTGTTGGTGAGGATCATGTTTCCTGTGTTGTGTTGCCAGGTAAAAGATGAGGATGAGAAGCGAGAGCGAGGGATCTCAGGGAGAGAGCTTGGATGGAATGGCTTCCTAAAAGAAGAATGAAGGGATGAATAAAGCAAGGCAAGGCCCGCTTTCAAGGGGGTCTCACCTTTCTTTCTTCATCTCTGTTGTTAGGACTCCTGAGCCGCAAGGTACCCTGCCCTTGATGGATTTTCACCTTCAAAGCCAAGGTGGGCACATAGCATGCAGCATGTTTCGTTGAAAGCGGATCATGTTGCTCAGAGTGCAAGATAGTATTTGCTAGAGAAGCTGAACTTGCTGCGACAGTCATTTGGCCAGGTTTGTTCCCGGCAGCTCGACTTTTCTCTATATTGCGGCATTTAGGTCAGAAATGAATATAGTTCAGAAGTAAGGCCTTTGCCGACAACATGGTGGATGCTGACTGGGGGGGTCACTCTGGAAGCCGACTCGGCCTTGACATCGGGGGCACATTGGCCAAGCTGGTCTTTTTCGAGTCTGAGATAAGACCATCGTGGTGCAATGGCAGATTTGCTCAAGTCATCAAGAGCTTGGGTGTGCAAACTGTAAAGAGTGAGGACGACCGAGAGTTCAGGGACTTTGTCTTGAGTCGACAAGGTTCATTTTGGGGTGCACAAGACAAGGAGTTGTCATTTTACGATGAGGAGTTGGAGGGTGTTTTCCACTTCCTTTGCTTTCAAACAGACAAGATGGAGCGATTCGTCGCTCTCTTGGCTGCACAAGATTTGCATCACCAGATTGATGAGATTTATACAACCGGAGGAGGTGCTTACAAATATTCCAGGCTTTTTTCGGAACGTCTTGGGATCAACCTCAAGCCGGTGGATGAACTTGGGGTGGTGGTGAAAGGGATTTCATGGCTGCTAAGAAGACCGATCTCAGATGAAGTCTGCTGGCTCAGCGATGAACCGCCCAAGTCTCCCAATTTTGAGTCCGAATGTCACTTCTTAGACTCCGCGAATTCTTTGTTCCCATTCATTCTAGTGAACATTGGCTCCGGGGTCAGCATTGTTAAAGTGGATGGCACTGACCGCTTCGAGCGAATCAGTGGATCTGCTTTAGGTGGAGGGACGTTTTGGGGGCTTTGCAACCTGTTGTGCCCAGACTGCAAGGAGTTTTCAGAAGCCAGCTGTTTGGCTGTCGCTGGAGATTCATCCAAGTTGAACCTATTGGTTGAAGACATCTACGGTGGGGACTATGAATTGACAGGAGGCAGGAAACTTCCTGGTACCTTAGTGGCATCCTTTTTTGCCAAAGCTGGCAGAAACGGCCAAGCTCATGATGACGCAGCAGTGCTCAATGCCCTCATCACGATGATTTCACAAAACATTTGCCAGATTGCCTTTCTCAATTCCAAATTGCACTCCATTTCTCGAATCGTGTTCACGGGGAACTTTTTGAGACAGAACCAAGTCGCCCGACAAGCCATTGCAACCAATATGCGCCGTGTCAGTGGGGCTGGCCTTGCAGGAAAGCAATTGCATGCTCTCTTTTTGGAACACGAAGGATACTTTGGTGCCTTGGGGTCCTTCTTGCACAACGTTGAAGTTGAAAATGCCGCTAGTAAGGTCCCCACCTGCCAACGTTTACCCACCTTACTGGGAAGCATGCAAAGTCCAGCCTTAGCCAATGCTTTGTGGACTTCGAAGCGAACCAGCTTGCTTCAGCGGACCTGGAATACCTTCAACCGCTGCCTTGGTTGCCGGGAAAGTGACGAGTCGAAGCAGGCGAGATTGGGAAACAAGCTATGAAGCTTTGTTTTTCGTTGACTGCGCTTCCCAAGGAACGTGGTCTACCCAGAGACAGGAAGTTCCGGACACGGTACAGTGGAGACCCAGGTAGATCAACCTGGCAAGAAAGAGATTGATGGTTAGACCGGCGGTCAACACAATGGACTGCTGACTGCTGATCTTGGCATGTATAGTGAATAAATTTTGTTCTGGCAGAGGCTCAGCGGCAAACGTCCACTGGGCAAAACTAGATGTTCTGCGTGGAACTATTTCGCCAGGTGTGATCTTTGCTTACCGCGCCAGACCAAGGCTTGTGTACACTGAAAAAAGAGGGACGAGTCTTGGGAAGCAGCTGAAAAAAGGGATGAGTCTTTCCTTCGAGCGAGCAGCTTTTGCCCAGTCCCGCATGAGTTCAGGATTGATCGAATGCCGGGCGCAGAGGCTTGGGACAGAGCTTCGATCGCTTGATCGAATGCCGTATGGGGCAAACGGCAAAACTCAGTCGGTTGGGCCATGGACAGCCAGTTCAGTTGACTTGGATACTTTCAAGTTGATCCTTCGGTCTCAGCTTTTTGTGCAGTTCTTGGACCGTTTTCACTCACGGCTCCTCTCGTTTCGAACGAACGGGCTTTCTTCGAACGGACCTCTGTGGTTTCGGTCGCGACGTGCCGTGCGTCTCGCTCCCGCGGCAGGGCCTGGAAGATGGGAGGCGGTCGCTCACGGGCGAAGCCATTGCCACGGAAGGTCTCGAACTTGTGCCTGGCGACCCGGAGTTTCTCCAGTTGTTGCGACCCAGAAACTTCTTTTTCTTGGTGAAAAGCACATTGACGGACTGAAGTTGGCAGACTTGTGCATTGAGCCATATTGAGCCTGTTGGGTTGCATGTGGTTCTTGCAGCAGATATATCATGTTTCAAGAAAGTCTCACAACTGATTGCAGGGCCGCGAAGGCCAAACCTGGCCGCAACAAGAGATGGCTGAAAGGTGCCCCGCGTGGCACGCACGTTCGCTTGTTGAGGCCAAGGCCGACGAACGAACGTCAGACGAACCTTTTCGCTCTCAGGCCGGGGAACCATGAAGAGGAAGAAGCTGGAGGAGAATGCGCAGCTTGAGAAGTGGTTGGTGTGGGTCCCGGTTGAATTGTGGTTGAGTGTATTGGCAGACGGCTCGACGTTTTTGGCAGAACGATGTGTTTCACGATGTATTTTTCTTTTCTTTCGGTTTCCTTCAGGGAGAGAACGGTGTGTGGGTGTCAGAATCTGCTGACTGGGGCCGACCTGCTCTCTTTGCCTGTCTTGCATTTGAACTTTAACAAATCACATGCAAGTGTCAAGTTTGTTCTTGCTTTTCTTGCACTCGCAAAAGAAGCAACGTGCAGTCTTCGTCGAACCGCCTGCCGCGTGGTTCTACGCCAGTCCTCCGGTGTTTCCATGGCAGTGGAAACACGAGAGCAGACTGAGAATGAAGTTTCAGGACCGGCTGCCTGCTGCATTTTAAGTGTTGCAGAATTAGCATGCATAGTTTATAGCTTCTATTTTTATGATAAGCATTTGAAGTGGAAGCATTCTTGACATTGGGGGGTTCAGGACTCCAAACCGCTTGTGTTTCTCAGGACGTGGGCTGGTTGCGCGCCGCGTCTGGGCCTTCTCACATCCATTCATGCGAAAACGCGTTTTTGCTTCTGGTCATTTTGTTACCAAGGACAATGAGAGGTCAAATGAGGTCCTATCTCGTTTGTGTGACCTTCTTCACTGTCAGGATGTAGAGTGCTATGAAGACCTGGCGCAGGTCCCGTGCCCTCCTCAGTGGGTTTGCTCTCAGATTGAACTTTATTCTCTCGACGAAACCTTTTATGTTGGAGGGAAGGCGGAAGGCCAAGGCTTGAAGATCGAATCGAAAGTGGAGCCCTTCAAAACGCGGACGCGGACGGTGGGGATCTGGCCTTTTTTGCAGCTAGGAGACCCGGTCACTGGAGACTCGAAGCCGAGGTACAACCTCCTTCTGACCAAGGACACCGGGCCTAAGGGGATGCTAGAGAGCATGATGCCAGGATATGCCAGGTTTGTTTTTTGATCTCAGAGGGAGCTTCCGAGTTGTGGAAACTGCGTTGCAGGACACTTCCAGAAATGTCTTTGGCGTGGATTGCATAGGAACCAATATGAGAGCTGGCCTCAAAACAGTTCGGTCAGCACCTGTTGCCTGCAGGGAATGGATCACGAGCTGCTGTTTTCGGTCAGGCGAATATGCAGCCATTGCACTGCAGCTCATCTATGAAAAGTTTGTGGCAAAGGACGCAAACTGAAAGAGACTCAAAAACCAGTGGCTGACCTCGTTCGTTCGGCCTTTAGGCGAACCGAAAGGCAGTCTCAGACCCCTTGAGATATTCCAGGAGGACTCATTTTGGGCGCCTTATATCGCAGTTCTACCTTCAACTGATGAGCCTCCATCTCAGTGGGCGTGGAGCGGCGGCCGAGCGGCCTGAGATGGGATTGGCGCAGGATTGGTGCGTCCTTTGCTTGGGATCGACAGGACCAGGGGGAGGTGTGAAAAAGGCACGACACACAAACACGAAGCTGCGGGACAGGACGGATGTCGTATCTTTCCTGCCACGACACGAAGCCTGCAAATTGGCGTTGTTGGAAGTACGTGGAAGTACCAATCACTTGCAGGAACTGGACACCCTGCTTGCTGGCAGCCCTTTGAGGAATATGTTCAGCACCCGGAGGACCAGATCAGTCAACAGTACTTGTGACGATGTGCAATGAGGTCCTACTATCTACAGGACCAGATCAAGGCGGAATTCACGAACATTCAGGACAGTGCATAGTGTGTAAGTCCCTTCTGGAGACAGTAAAAAAGCCATAGAAGCTAGGCACCGCCTAGTTTTGCTGACCAAAAGGGATGACATGGAGGTAGCTCACATGCTGGCATGCTGACAACTCCGTGGTGCAGGAAACGATTATGTCGAAGTTCCCCGACACCTTTCCGGAGGATGCCTTCGTGTACGAAAACTATGTGTCTATCTCAGCATCAGTTTTAAGTCGTTCGCAAGTAGTTCATAAGTAACTTACTGTATAAGTAATTAACTTGTCACAAGTAGCCTATATTCTGTGTACAAGTATCCTAAGTTCCACACCTACTTACGGTACTTGGGTCCATACCCTTGTCATAACCTTTTTGTACCATTTCCATACCTTTTCATGCCCTTTTCATGCCCTTTTCATTATATTGTCTTGTGCTTCTAGGGCAGGTGTGGTGGACATATAGTCATTCTAGCCAGCTCCCGTCCACCCTCCCGTATTGTGCCCCTCCATAATCCACCCACAGCCCTGTTCATGCCCGTCCACCCGTGCCGGAGGAGAGAATCTGAGGCTTCTGCAAAGTGTTTAGTTCGTGGAGAAGCAGCCATGCTATGCTTTTTGATCAAGGGAAAAGGGATGCGAGGGTGACAATGGAGGGGAATGCCAGCACTGGCCCGGCCCCCTCGAGCTCATCCTCAGTGGCTTCAAAAGCAAAACCACGTTCTTATTCGCGCACCGTACGCGTAACCCTATGCGCACCCTTGTCGCAACCTTTTCATAGCCTTTTCGTACCCTTTCCATACCCTTTACATACCTTTTTCATAGCCTTTTCGCATGCTTTTCAGCACCTTTTCCTACCTTTTTCATGTTCTTTTCATACCCTTTCCCCTTTTCAGACCTTTTTCATACCTTTCATATCGATTTCATAGCCTTTTCATATCCCTTCATACCCTTTTCATATCCTTTCATACCGTTTTCATACCCTTTCATACCCTTTTCATGTCCTGTTCATGCCCTCTCCGTAGCCTTTTCGTAGCCTTTTCACGCCCTGTTCATACCCTTTTCATTTCTATTCATATACCATGTCCCTTTCGCAACTTCTCATGTCCTCTTCATATCCCATGCCCTTTTCGTGCCTTTTGTTATTTCCATATATATATATATATATATTTTTTTTTTCCGTAAGCAACTTTTTACACCCTTGTCATACCCTTTTCGTACACTGTTCAACACCCATGCTCTTTTCATGCCTTGGCCATACCCTTTTCAAACCCTTGTCATACTCTCTTCATGTCCCACGCCCTTCTCATACGCTTTTCATATCCTTTTCATACCACATGCCTTTTTCATGTCCTTTTCATACCCTTTTCTTGCGTGTTCTTTTCATACCCTTTTCAAACCCCATGCCCTTTTCATTCCCTTTTCATGCCCTGTTCATACCCCTTTCATACCCTTTTCATACTCTTTCATGCCCTTTCCTTGCCCTTGTCATATCCTTTTTCTGCTCTTTTCATGCCTCGTTCAGAAAAGGGAGTGAAACGGGTATGAAACGGGCATCGGATCCTCCAGGCCTGAAAGATGTTTCTCTACAAGTGCGACTTTCTTCAAGAGGAGGTGTTCTCACTCGGTGGTTCAGGTCTGGCCTGGTATAGATAGATAGATAGATAGAACAATTGCATACGTACATACGTACATACAAGCATACCTACCTATCTTTCTATCTATTTATCTATCTACCTATCTATACGATATTCAAGTCAAGGTCTGTATCCGTTAAGTGCCGTAAGTAGGTGTGGCACTGAGGATGCTTGTGATGAACGTGTAACTTATTTGTTGTGAAGAGTTTCAATGATCCATAGGCAGGTGTAGCGCTTAGAATTTTTGTAAACGGTCAGGAGGTGCGCAAGATATTCACAAGGTGTTGACAAACTATTTTGGCAAACTATTGGCCGACTGCTTATTGCTCACGGTTTCCAATGGCCAAGAAACGTGGAAACAAACGGCCTTGCCGTGTCCCACCTCAACTTGCTGCATCCGCATGACAGGTTTGGGCGTATTCTGTCCTCTTCAGTCGAGCAGTTCGTCTTGATTTCCCGGAGCGGTTTCTTGTGTCTGTCATGAGCTAGCGCAACACATGTCATGTTCAAATCTTGTTGTTCGATGTCTGGCGGTGAACACAAAACACAGTTGCGCTTGGACCCCTTCTTTAATGACGCTCGCTTCAGCTTGTTTTTGGAGGACGACCTGGACGCGGAAGACATCGTGGCTTTGGTCCCCTACATCGATCTGATCAACCATAATCCCAATTCCGAATCACGGATCCGTGGAGTGGGCACCTCAAATCGATACGCTTGTCGCGGCTGATCGCTCTGGGGGACAACCGTTACTTTGTTTAAAGCAACGTTTGCTGGTCTATATCATATGGGCGATTTGGTTGCATGGAATCCCCGGAATGTTCAGGCTCCATCTCGGTTGTTCTTTTCTGTGCAAGAGACAAAGACGGATTGCTTTTTAAAAACTAGTTTCCTGCCATGAGCCTCAAGAGGCCCTTTGAAACCAGTCAAACTGTGGCACCCTGCAAGAATTGCCGATACTTGCGATACTCCGAGACACTCCTCGTCATAGCGTGAACTTAACACTCCGACAGAACCCTTGGATGTGTCTCCACGCGCCTTTCTCCACGCGGTCGAAACGTGAAATCAATTACATATATAATTTGGTCATGTGGTTAACCATGAATCACAGTTATGTGAATTCCCACTTGAAGACTGAGGTCTCAGAAGGGGCGAGTATCCCCGGTGTTTCAGAGCCTGAGCGTTCTGTTGTTGTCAGGGCAGACAGGCCAGTGCCTTGCTGCGCTTTGTGAGGTCTCGAGTCGTTTCTTGTGAATCCTGTGCCAGATATATCAACAAGTACGAACAAATCTATATCTCTTACGGCCAAGATCTTGGACTTAGCAACGAAGTTGAACCACTCTAAAGAGTGAGGTTCCGCGGGGCAGTTCAGTCGTTGTAAGGCCGGAAATCAAATGCCCAACTTCTGATGCTCTATGGTTTCAGTATGGAACGGAATACGCAGGACTCCCGCCTCCAAAGCTCTTCATTCTGATGGTAATGTTTGAGTGTTGGCCGATGGCAGGACTTTGTGACCTTCTCCACCGGGCAGCTGTTAGAAGACAGTCCATTTGCCGAGGTGCTCGACAGGAGATGCGATGTTCTGCTATTGAAAACGACGGACATCGGGTTGCTTCATTGACGTTTGTGGTGGAGTCTTGGGTTGCGGCCATGGTTTCACCGAAACGACCCAGGTGAAGAAGCGCATTTTGGAGGAGCTGGAAGTTCCCAAAGAGGCCTGCCACCTGACAACTGCTGACGCCAAAGGGCGCTGCCGCAGTGGCTCGGCCGAACCGCCAGGGAGTCTTCCCCCTCTACCGAGATCGCTTTACTGGCGAGATGATGATGTTCTTGAGGCCGAAGGGGCCTGGAAGGGCGCCGAAGGTCATTCTGTCATTTGCAGGAATTTGTTGTACTTTGTTCTTTCGCACAATTATTCTGGTTTGGAATCTTGTGAACTCAGCCTGTGTTCGTGACGAAGGCTAGCGGTGGTGCAACCAGATGATTTGGACATGGATGAAGATGCAGACGAGCAGCAGGCACCTAAACCCAACGTGACTGCAAAGGTATTGGCTTCTTTGATTTCATGGACTTGACAGGTCTACAGGGCTCTAAAGCAGCTTGATATCAAGCAGGCAACTGGTGAGTGGCTACCTTAAAGCCTGATAAAGCCAGAGAAGTGGTTCTGCTTCTATGTCTTCTGAGGGTTAGCGAGCGGCGTGCGCTCATTTGTCTTCGTGGAATTGTGCAGGTTGGATTTGTTTTCGACACTTTCATTGTTGGACACAAGAGATTGCAGGATTTTTCCCCGTTGCAGGACTTGCAGGATGCATATCCGACGACCATACAGGAGGATGAGGTGGACTGAAAGTATGCTACACCTGCGTAATAGACAGCCATGCGGGCATGGTGCAGGGTTTGCTGCCGTAGTTTAGGAGTTAAGAACATGTGCCACCTTCCCAACTGGATTTGGCTATTGCATGGAAACATTTCCCTGAGCAAATAGAAGAATCCTACGTGTTTGTAGGCCACAGTGCCATTTTGCATTTGGTTCTTGGGGAGTTAAAGATCACGAGCTTTGCGGTTTCCGTGGTTTCACTTAAAAGACAAGTATGATGAACAATCTCTTGTCCTCTTGTGAGGCCTTGATCCGTGACCGGCAAATGTGGACATCTCAGCACAGAGTGACTGGCTGTAAGAAACACCAGAGCAATTTGGGCACTTCCCTACTAGCGATGGTCTCCAACCTAGTAGCGATGGTCTCCAACCTAGTAGCGATGGCCTCCAACCTAGTAGGGATGGCCTCCAACCTACTAGCGATGAGCTCCAACCTAGTAGCAATGAGCTCCAACCTAATAGCGATGGCCTCCAACCTGCTAGCAATGAGCTCCAACCTAGTAGCGATGGCCTCCAACCTAGTAGCGATGGCCTCCAACCGAGTAGCGATGGCCTCCAACCTACTAGCGATGAGCTCCAACCTAGTCCTTAGTAGGGATGGCCTCCAACCTACTAGGGATGGCCTCCAACCTCGTAGCGATGGCCTCCAACCTACTAGCGATGAGCTCCAACCTAGTAGCGATGGCCTCCGACCTACTAGGGATGGCCTCCAACATAGTAGCGATGGCCTCCAACCTACTACTCCAACCTAGTAGCCTCCAACCTAGTAGCGATGAGCTCCAACCTAGTAGCGATGGCCTCCAACCCACTAGAGATGGCTGGCCTCCAACCTAGCAGCGATGGCCTCCAACCCACTAGAGATGGCCTCCAACCTAGTAGCGGTGGCCTCCAACCTAGTAGCGATGGCCTCCAACTCAGTAGCGATGGCCTCCAACCTAGCTGTCATATAATTTGTTTTATCGACCCCCCCAACCCATCAGCGAATGCCCTGTCAATCGTAGTCACACCTGGTTCACTTTTTGAGGTGAAACCGGGAAACCTTCGCAGACAACACCCTGCACAACAAGCATTGACAAGTGTCCCTTCATGGATACATGCCAATAGTGGACTGGTGACTAGTGCTGAACTCAACAAACATATCAGAGATACATCCCTACATTGCCACATCGCAAGATGGACGGTTGTAGGCTTGTTCACTGGAATTTTGCTTGCCGAACACGGTGGAGCGCTTCATCCGAGCGAATGGAAAATCTGAGCGTGTTCGGATCAGAAGGGAACGCTTCTTCGTTCCATGAGAAACAGCAGGAGAGGGTGTCTTTGTGGTCGGGAACCACCCCTTCTGCATTGTTGCGATAACCGCATTGACCGAGGTTCGAGCTACTTCCTCGAAATCAACGCAATGCTTTGCGCGTGAGGTTCGCATCTGCAGAGGTCATGGTTCGGTTCGGTCATGAAGAAGCACGAACATGTCCAAGTGAGTTGACTCTCTCAGGGTGTGTGACCGCTAGCATTATCACAGCCTGATGCCCTGTCCAAAAGTCCTTTGTGCTATGATGGTGTTGGTGAAGCCTTTATTTACCTTTCGGGGGAGGGTGGCAACACACTGAGAACACAGGTAGTAGCTCGTTTTTGACAGGTTTTTGGCTTTGTCCCTCCCACAAATCAAGTTGTGCTGGATCTGCAGAAAGATTGCTGAACCCTGCCACATGTGTGAGTGGAGACCAATAAATAGAGAACGTGCAGACCTGAACTCAACAATAGATGAATCAGAAGCTTCGTTTTCGGATCAGTTTTTGAAGCACTTGAGCTTTGCGAAGGTATGGTGAAAAGCTCATCATCCGTGCGTCCTTGGCAACCATTGACCGAATCCTGAACAACTTGGGAAGGCATTGAACGAGTCATTTCATGCAGAATATCATTATATATATATAGACAGCAAGAACCAGCAGTCGTTCAATTGCGCAGGTTGAAGCAGATGGAAGAACAAGAAGATAAACAGCGTCGGGAGGCTCCGTTCCCTTTCCGAATTGGAGGTCTTGTAATTGATCCCGATGCGCCTTTAACAGGGATTCGTCAATCAAGCGACTTCCCGTCCTCGGACGAGGAAACCTGAGTTCTTCTGGGTCCCAGTCTAGTTGCTTTCAATTGCTCCTACTTACCCATCACTGCTCTCCAAAAAAAGAGAAAGAGAAGCCTAGAGAAGACAGAGAGTGACGGTCGACCGTCGTTTTCTTGGTCGGCCATGTCTCAGATGGAGAAGTCGGCCTTTGGAAGACTGAGTGTCTCTTTTGATTCTCCGTTCAAAGCGAGAAATCTGGAGGAGCACTTTGTTTGTTCTTGAGACCTGCCATGACCTGCCTTTGTTCATTCCTTTCGGTGATTTCAGCTTTTTGTGGCATATTGTTTGTTGTCCCACATGTTGCTCTTTTTGCATGTCCCTTGAATTCCGAGCCCGACAATCCGCAGGAGCTCATGAAAGAGCTGGACATTTGATGCTTGCATCCTTTCTGTACATAGATGAAAGGATTGAGAAATTTTGTACACACCTTCGCAGGGGCGCGACCTTAGCTGCTCCCTGGCAATCAATCTCTGAAAAAGCAGCAAAGTTGCTACAATTTGTACAGTTGCTTCAGAGCAGCAGTGATTGTTCCAGTCCAGCTGCATGGATGGACCACCTGGCTTTTCTTCATAGCATGACCAATGCGTGATTTGCATGACAGCCATTAGTCCTGCTTCCATGTGGTGAGACTGCAGTTTTCCGAGTGTATGGATGGGGATTGTCCCAACCATGCAAGACCAAGTCAAACGGGAAAAAAACAGAGCTGCGACGGCACTATCTACGTGTTGCATCAGGTTGAGTGAGGTGAGGAGCTCATTGAGTGTGGAGCGCTGCCAAGAGCATTGCCCAATTGCTATTTCCAGCTTGATCCTTTTCCTTAATAGTTTGTTGTATGCACAAGAAGTGTGGCAGAGAACAAGGGACGTGCCCCCCCCACGTTTCCACCTCCGCAAGACCTATATATACCCCCCTAAGCCAACTGACCGTAGAATCACCTTGAGCCAATCGACAACACCGGCGACGGGTCCACGCACGGACACATGGAGTGATGCCCTCTGCACTTGCGTGAGCCTGGCTCTCCGCTTGCCTCGGTCATGAGTCATGTGAAAAGTAACCAGGTCCTGGTCATTGCGTGTATATAGTCACAGAATAACCTTGCCAGGCGTGGGCAGTTGGTGGAGATCACAGGTGTCAAGGATGGATCCTGAGGAAATATACTAGTTTGATTCTCATGTCGGGTTTGTTACAGGCGGCTGCTCGTGTGAGGCGCTCGACACACCCGATCGATGGCGAAAAGATGGCGTGGCCGCTGGGCCGAAAGACGTCAATGGGCAGCAGGTGGCCGGCTGCAGACGCACAAAGAAGCCTGAGCAAAATGGAAGAAGTGGAATCGAATAATGAAATTGAATCCAGGAACAAAACAAGTATACAGTATAGGCAGTATAGGTGTATAATATTACATGTCTGTGATTGTAATCAAGTGTACACTTGCCTATTTTTACTTAGAACCTGAGTAAAATAGCGGAGAGTACATCTAACAGCTAACAGAGCTTCTATCGGAGTCCCGATGGCAGGGCCAGCTGATCGAGTTCAACGAAGAGAAGGGTGAATGGACCGTCGCAACGTTCAATGCAGACATCGTTTGGGATCTAAGAAGGCTTCTGACATTGTTGGGACTCCAATGTAAGTAGGTTCTGACGCTCTCTTCTTGTTTTCATGGACAGAACGGTGGACCTGTTGGAATGAACGCGTGAAGCGAAGAAGCGGGCCGGGCTGAGCTCAGGTCGCTGCTGCAGAGTCCTCCCTCAGGCAGCAAAAAGTGATATGTTCGACTCAGCGACTCAGCGACTCAGCGACCTGCCACGACAGCCTCGCCATGCCTCGCCTAGGCCTTTAACAGCTGAAGATCTTCAAGACTACGACATCACCTTGGGGCCAGCGCCATGCAACCCAGTTGGCAGTTCCAGTTGGGCCTGTAGCTGTTCTGCTTCAGTGACCTGTCTGGTCCAACGAGGTCGGACACTGGCGTCATGGGAGCAGAGCTGACGGAGCGGCTGTCGGATCAAGGGTACGCGGTCGTTGTCATCGCACGACGCGCGGAGTCGGGAGGTGTCTCCTCGTTGGGTGACGTGTGTATATTGTACGTTCTTCTTCTTTTTTGGGAAGTTTTGGGAAGTAGAGTGACCGAGTTCTGAATGGAACTAGAGATTTTGGGAGAAGAAGTTCAATTCAGGTACGCTGTGTGCAAGCTCTTCATAGATCCAGAGGACTTGAATGAATTGGTGCGGACAGCAGACAGGCACGACTTTGTGTTCTTCTTTTAGCGGTGCTTGGCCTGTGCTTCAGATGGGCAGGTGTGTTTCAGAGGGAGCATTTACCAGACTTGCAGCTGAGCTAGAAAGTGGATATTTGGGCCAGGCATGGTCTTAGTCTTTTGTTGCATACCTGCATAGCCATTTGCTAACAAGCAGTTGGGTGTGTCACGAATTGGCCAGGAAGGGAAAGGCAAAACCCTCTCTGTGGACCTGGACAGCAGCGACACTGCTGATTTTCTCAGGGAGCCTGGGGCCCCGGAGGTCTTTTCTCAGGGAGCCTGGGGCACCCAAGGTCGCTCCCCACTTAATTAAGGTACTAACCTACCTTATTAGTAAGTACGCTACTAGCACGGACGCAGGATAGCGCTCACACTCTTCATTTGGTTCCTAGATCTTTAGGGAAACTTAAGTTATTTACGGGGGCTTCTCCAGGTGTTTTCGTTTGCTTTCCCTGCATGAGGTCTCCGTTGAAGACCTTTGAAGATGCCATTGAGACAGTAGAGCGCTCAAAAAAGGAACACAAGATGTGTCATGTGATCCATTTTTGGCTAAAACAAGAATCAGGATATGACCATTTTTGGGTGTTTAGCCACTGCCAGTTTTTTCATTTTTTTCCTTCAGAAGTTTGGAAGAAGAACTTTAATGACATTTTCTCAAGCAGCGGATTCTGGGCAGGTGGGAACGCTGATAAGACCTTTCGTGGAACCAGAGCTGGGTTTTGACATTTACAGCCGCACAAGTGCGCCGAGATCACAGATGCAGGCGGCCGTGCACACTGATATGCTCTGCATTTTTGCAGGTACAATGATGTCGCTGCCCTTTGTGGATGAGAGTGACGAGGAGAAGCCTGGGGCCTTTTTTGGGTCGGTAGCGACACACTGAAACACATCATCGGCACAAGATCATCAGGCTTCCTTCTACACGACAAAATTTTGAGCTCTATGTCAAACAAAGTGGACTCATCAGTTGGAGGGGCGTTGGAAGCCCTTTGAAGAAAGTAGAAGCCTGGGTCTTCTTGGTTTGCCAAGATTAGTGGGCCCATTTTTCCCAGATCGGGGATGTGGATGCGGGATTGGCCGCAATGTAGTCTGCTATCTTGGAGAGGTTTGTGTTTAAGAACATGTGGCAGTATGTTTGCATGGCCAGCCATAGCCAACCAAGTAGATAGATGATGGGCTTGATAGCATGACCTGTTCGTCAGCTCATCATGCTCCTGTATACTCCAGTGCGCAGCGGAGGATATGTTCTCCCCACCTCAGATTGACAATGAAGAAGCTGCAAACTTCCTTTCGATGATGCTGGCAACTCAATGATCAGTATTCGGCTTGGGATCTCTCGAATACATGGATTTGTTTGTCGAGGTGGCGCTCTAAGCTGA